CCTCCCTCCCTCTCCTTCCTTCTTTTCTTTCTCTCTTTAAAACAAACCAGATTCGTTTTATTTTTATTTGTATGTGTGTCCATGTGTGGCGTGGGCATGTGCACTCGCAGATGCAGAAGAGGGCGTCAGATTCCTTGAAGCTGGAGTTACGGGTGGTTGTGAGCCGCCTGACGTGGGTGCTGGGCACCGGACTTGGGTCCTCTGCGAGAGCAACAGGAGCTGAGAACCACCGAGCCGTCTCTCCAGCCCGCCTGTCTTCCTTCCTCTCTTTCCATGGGGTCTCAGGTATGTGGTTTTAAGGATGGCGCTGGGGCCTAGAGCACAGGAGACAAGCACTCTGCTAACTGAGCTGCACCCCAGCCCCCAGCCCCCAGCCTCCCATCCTTCCTTCCTTCCCTTGTTCCTCTTAATTATTTCTCCCAAGGGCTGGAATCACAGACCTGAGCTGACTACTTCTCCGCAACCTTTCTTCTTTTTCTTTTCTTTTTTCTTTCTTTTCTTTTCTTTCTTTTCTCTTTCTTTCTTTCCTTCCTTCCTCCCTCCCTCCCTTCTTTTTTTTAGTGTAGCCCAGGCTACCCTCAAGGAAGGCTGAACTGATCCCATCTACTCCACCTCCCAAATACTGAGATTATAAGCCCGTACCCCCACACTTGGTTTGCGGGGTGCTGGGGAGTGAACTCGGGGCCTGGTGCACACTCAGCAAGCACTCTACCCACTGAGGCACATCTCCAGGCTCCTGTGTTCTTCCTATCCTGAGAATCAACTGCACAGTGACGTTCCCTCTGCCACAGACCCACAGACTTGTATTAAATAAGTAATAAAAATTTTTGTCTGAATTTGCAAATGTTACTGGACTGGACATTGTTATATATTAATGGAGTTTTTTTTTTTTTGGATCTGTCAAATGTTAATGGACTAGACATCATTAATGTAATTTTTGGCTGTATATATTGTATATACTTATTGGATAGTTTTTCTTGTATTAGTTATAAGCTTTTTTTAATCTTAGACAAAAAAGAGAGGAAATGTGGTGGTATTGTGTTCCCCAAAATATTGTGTACCTTAATAAACTTATGTGGGAAGCACCAGCCATTATCACTTTATGTTATCCTTCTCTCTGATGGAAATGACTGTCTCCCTTAGGGGGGCTCAGGAGACCCCATGGGCCCTGCCCTGACACTGACCCATGAAGACAGCAGACCATCTCTCAGCTGTGACCGCTCAGTGCTAGCCCCGCCCCCCTATGAACATATGTAGCTTTCCGTTCACACTTAGCTTATGCCCCAACCTGTCACCTGCCGCTCCTTCCTGTCCATTGTGAACCCTCCACTAGATTGCAGTCCACAGGTGTGTTCCATAAACTCTGTTGAATGATTGAATGATGACTTGGAAGGTCTCCTAAAAAAAAAAATCCTTTAGTTCAAAAGAGCACCCCTCAGGTACTGGGGACATAGCTTGGTGGAGTTTGCCCAGCATGCAGGAAGCCCTGAATTTGATCCCAGAACCTCATAAAGAAGGTGTAGTGGCCAGTGTCTATGATTCCAACACTTGGGAGGTAGAGACAGGAGGGTCAGAAGTTCAAGGTCATCCTCAGCTATGTGGTGAGTGCCAGGCTAGCCTTGGCTACATGAGACCCTGTCTCAACAACTACAAGAAACATCCATCAGATCCTACTTCCTAGATACCCATGCTCCTCGGTGCCAGCTTCATCCTACGCCTCAGCTTCCACCCTGTCTTGACTTCCTAGTTACAAGCCAGCCTCAGCTCTCCACTGGCCTCTGGCCCCCTCATGCTGGAGAAATTCCACAGCTTCATCCAGGGCTGGCCACTCAGAGGACATTTCTCAATCCCCTCGGGGACCCGAGGCAGGGGTGGGACAGCGGGTCAGAGTCTGCAGCCAGCTGGGGAAAGTGCTGGGCAAGTGTGAAGGACACAGGACAAAGGGGCTGTACTCACTGTGGAGGTCCTCTGCCATTTCCCCTAAGCCTCAGTTTCCCCTTTGAGAAAAGAGTTTGCTGGGGCTGCCCAGCCTGGGACGGGCACTCGCTGATCTCTTCTAGTCTCTTGCATTTTTGCCTGACTTTGCTCAAGTGTTCTACCTATCTCTGTCAATATTGCTTTTCTTCTCTCACCTCCCACTTTCTTAAGATTGAACATAAGGACTCATGCAGACAGGCAGGCACTCTTCCACAGCGCTCCATCCCTGGCCCTTTGTTTATTCTTGAGGTTAAGACCGAGTCTCACCAGGCTGGCATTGAATTCATGATCCTCTTGCTTCAGCCTTGCTTAGAGCTGGGGTGAGAAGCTGCGGACACCAGGCCCTACCATGTCTACTTTTTCCATCCGTTGCCTTCTCTTTGTCTCCCCTCTCGTCCCCATTTCCAGCTCTCCCCGCCTCTTCAGTGTTCCATGGGGGCTCAAGCTCCGCCCCATCCCACAGATGTCCTGGAACTGGTGTGAGGTTATTTCGGGAGTTGGTGGCTCCCCTGGGTCTTTCCCAAGCGCCTTGGCGGGATGAGGCACTTTGGAAGCCAGTGGGCTCTGCGCTGCCTGAGCAGGCAGCCTGTGCTGCCGGAGGCTGAGGGGAGTGTGGTCCAGGCGCACAGCAGACTTCCTGGTGACAGAGACTCTGGCCGAGGCCAGAGCCTGTCCCTAAGGATTCCAGGGAAGGGCTCATTCCCAGCCGTGGGTGCAACATAGAATTTATTTCCTTTCTCTTTATCTCTTTGTCATATTTTATTTTTTGAGACAGGATCTCATGTAACCTAGGCTGGCTTCCAACTTGCTATGCAGCCAAGGATGACCTTGAATTTCACATCTTCCTGGGACGGCTGAGCGCCAATCATGCCCAATTTGTGCCGTTTCGGGGATGGGACTCAGGGCTTCATGCTTGCTAGGTAAGCAGTCTACCAACCAAGCGACACCCCAACCCCGCTTTTTTTGTTTGGTTGTTTTAAATACGACTGTGTAACCTAGATAGGCGTGGAACTCAAAGTCTGCCCTGCCTCTGCCTCCTGACTTCAGGGACTACAGATTTGAGCCATCACAACTGTCACGTAATTTTTTTCTGATGTTTAAAAAATAAAAATAATAAAGAAGGTCTGTGGCGTGCTAGGGAGACAGCTCTGTGGGTAAAGCGCAAGCGTGAGGACCTGGGTTCTGTGCAAGCGTGAGGACCTGGGTTCAAGTCCCCAGTACTCATGTAAAAACCCAGCATGGCACACCTATAACCTCAGAGCTGGGAGTGGGGGTGGGCAGATCCCTGGAGCTCACCAGCTAACCATTTTAGCCAATTGGTGAGTCTCAAGTTCCGTGAGAGATCCTGCCTCAAAAACAAGATAAAACAAAAGCACTCGTAAGGTGGAGGGTGACAGAGGAAGCCATCTGACATGGGCAGTCTCAGACATTTATGGATACACACACATACATGCATGTAGCACATACACATGAACACACACTTAAATTTTTTTTTTTTTTTTTTTTTTTTTGTTTTTTCGAGACAGGGTTTCTCTGTGTAGCTTTGCGCCTTTCCTGGAGCTCACTTGGTAGCCCAGGCTGGCCTTGAACTCACAGAGATCCGCCTGCCTCTGCCTCCCGAGTGCTGGGATTAAAGGCGTGCGCCACCACCGCCCGGCATAAAATTTTTAAAATATTTTTTATTTTATTTTACATGCTTAAGTGTTTTGACTGTGTACCATGTGCATGCAGTACCTGCAGAGACCAGAAGAGGGCATTGGATTCCCTGGAGCTGGAGTCACAGATGGTTTGTGAGCTGCCGTTGGGGTGCTGGGAACTGGACCAGAGTCCTCTGGCAGAGCAGCCAGTGCTCTAAACTGCTGAGCCATCGCTCCAGCTTCCTCCCCCGACATTTTTCTAAGTGCACAAGATAAATTTTAATTATATACTTCATCTAATCCAGTATATCAAAACTTATCATTTAAACATGTAATCAATATAAAAATCATTACTGGGATAATTACCGGAAGATAGTAACTGCACAAATCGGTGGGTGTGACTGGGACATTTCCGTTCATGCATGTGTCATGGGTTGATCTCACCTACCCTCCCTTTCCTACCCACTTCCTACGCTCTCCCCAGCTCTTACCATCCTCAATGCCCCCCTTCTTTATGCTTCTTGGTCTTTTTGGTTTTTGAGGTTTCCATGTTTGAAAGAAAACATGTAGCACTCGTCTTTCTTAATTTTTTTTTTTTTAATTTTGCTTTGTTTTTGAGACAAGGTTTCGTGTAACTGAGGCTCGCCTTGAACTTCTGATTCTTAGGTGCTGTAATAAGTCAGGCATGGTGATACATGACTGTGGTCTCAGTACTCCTGAGGCTGAGGCAGGAGGATCTCAGAGAATTCAAGGCTAGAATGAGATCAAACATGTCTCAAAAAAGGGAGGAGAGGGCTGGCCGTGTGGCACAGCAGGTAGAGCACTTTCCCAGCATGCATGAAGTCCTGGGTTCTATTCTATAACCCTGGCTGACACTCAGGAGGTGGAGGAAGGATCAGTAGAGCAAGGTCATCCTCAGCTACATTAGTGAGTTCGAGGGCAGCCTTGGCTGCGTACAGCTCTGTCTCCAAAGGAAGAAAGGAAGAGATTATTAACAGGAACTTGCATGCCATTTGTCCTGATTTCAGAATCTAGTATGTGTTATACACTCACATCTCCACGGGACATTCCAGATGCTTGAAGGATGCATTCTATCAGTCTCTCCCTCTGCAATACAAACCGCACAGACAGTTGGTCCTGCTTTCTCAATGTCTATCCATGCACGATGCAGTCAGTGCTCCACAATGCCCACTGCAGGGCTGTGTGTGTGTGTGTGTGTGTGTGTGTGTGTGTGTGTGTGTGTGTGTGTGGCAAGTGCATGTGTGTAACCTTTGCACTCAATAATTTGAATATCCATTATACACATTTAAGAAAAAAAGCTGGGCTTGGCTGTGACCACCTGTAACTCTGGTGCTGTGGGGGAATGGCAACTGGAGCGTCACTGGGGCTTGGGGCCACCATCCTAGCACCTCCAGGGTCAGTTAGAGACAAGTGACAGAGCAGGACACCAGACGTCCTCCTCTGCCCTAAGCGCGCGCGTGCGCGTGCACACACACACACAAATTAAAAATAAATCTTTAAAATAAAACAATACTCCTGTCTGGTGACCCGTGTCCTCCGTCCCTCCCTGGTTCTGGGCCAGTCCTCAGAATTCCCGCACCTATATCTTTAGCATAGCTGGAAAGGGATCCCCAGACACTCGGCTGTCTGATTGTATTTACAGCTCTTCCTTCCTCCGGTCCTGTCCCCAGGTCTGTTTATAGCCCTGGCAGCCTGCGTTGTCCCCGGAGCCCAGCATGCATCTGGAGAAAATATCTAGCTCCCTCCAGGTCAGATGTTAGTGAGCAGGCATGCCCTGCCTGCCCAGCTGGCCCTAACCTGCCTGCTTGTGTTGTATCTGTGTCCCGGGCAACTCTCTGTATGCCATACCTGGACGGTTGACCTCAAAGATGGCTGCACGTTGGGCTCAGTTTGCATTGAATGAGTTAGTTTTCACAGCCCAGCCTCTTGTGCTTTAGATGGTTGGGAGGGAATCCCTCCTCCATTCCCTCTTCTGCTGTGTGCCATAACTGACTTGGGTATCTTCCTTTGACTTGGCTCCTTACTGCCCCCTGGAGGCTGTGCACAGCAACAGCCTGCACACCGTCCAGCAGGGGTCTGTTTCTCCATCCATAAAGGGATCACATCAGGGCTGTGAACAGATGTGAACACTCTTTGATGATTGTAAAGTTAATGGATTATTGGTGAGCTTGGCCCAGACACTGACGGGTGTAGCCAAGAAAAGGGATTCCTCTTCATTCTGCCCTCACCAGGGCACATGCTGGTCTCACTGTGGGAAACTCTCACATGACAATATAGCCCACTCTCCTCCAGTCGATTATGATGCCACCTCCTTCAGGAAGTGTCCTAATGGCTCACATCTAAGCCAGATATCTCTTCCTCTCCTCCCTTCTTTTTATTTATTTTTCTTTTTCTCTTGTGATAGGGTCTCTTTATGTGATCCTGGATGTTCTGGAACCCCTATGTACACCAGGCTGGTCTCAAACTCATAGAGATCCACCTGCCTCTGACTCCCTAGTGCTGAGATTAAAGGCCCCACCACATGTGGCTTTTTCTTTTCCTTATACCCTCCTCCTCTTGTTCTTCTTGTTCTCTTTTCTGAGAAAGGGTGCCGCTCTGTAGCCCAGGCTGGCCTCCAACTTTGGATCCTTCTGCCTCAGCCTCCTGTGTGCTGAGATTCTAGTCCTGGGCCGCCACACCCAGATTATTGTTGGTTTGGGCACAGCCCCCCCCCACCTTCTAACTCCTGTTCATTCTACAGCACCCAACCTCAGTGTCTCCTCCTCCTGGAAGCCAACCCTGATGGACTCCCATCCCGCCAGTAGCTGTGCTCTCGGGATGGTCCAGCACTGTGTTAGGGTGGGACTCAGGCACACTGGTGGCTTCAAGCCCTGGCTCAGTGATGGCCTAGCTGTGGCTCTACGCTCTCACACCTGCTCCAGACTATAAATTTCAGGACCAACCCCACAGGCTGTCAGCTACAGAAATGCACGTAAACTGCCCAGAAGGTACCTGGCAGAGAGCAACCCTGGGCTATGCATAATGACCCTTTCTTAACAACTGCCTGGTCGTAGTGGCACAGATCTATAACCGCAGCACTGAGGAGGCTAGAACAGAAGGATAGAAACTTGGAGGCCAGCCTGGGCTACATAGGGGCATTCTTTTCATTTATTTTTATTTTATGTGCATTGGTGTTTTGCCCGCATGTATGTCTGTATGAGGTAGTCAGATCCCCTGGAACTGTTCTTACAGACAGTTGTGAGCTGCCATGTGGGTGCTGGGAATTGAACCTGGGACCTCTGGAAGAGCAGCCAGTGCTCTTAACCCCTGAGCCATCTCTCTAGCTCCCCATAGGGGCATTCTTAAGAACAAATGGACAGAAGAAAAAACAAAGTATGATGAAAAGAGAAGGAGAAAAAGGAGGAAGAAGAGGAAGAGGAGGAGGAAGAAGAGGAGGAAGAGGAGGAGGAGGAAGAGCAAAAGGGGAGGAAGAAGGAGTGAGGAGGAGAAGGAGAGGAGGAGCAGAGGGGGACAGGTGGCACTATGCACTAGGCAGGGACTGGCCAAGGTGGCCTCCTATCCCTATCCTGGTGAGCTCCTCCCGGAAGCTGGGTGGAGACCTGCTCCTGTTTCAGAACCTTCAAAGTCAACAGCTCCAGGCAAACCTGCACATCCAGGAGAGGGTGGAGGCAGGAGGAGGCTGGTACTTAAGTATCAGGTCTGTTAGGTATTCTCAGCTCTGAACCACCGCACCTGGCACCCGGCCCCACTGGACAGCATGTCACAGAAGAGCATTGCCCACCACACCGTCTGGCCTCACAAGACCAACCAAGCCAGGGCAGAGGCAGCCAGAGAAGGATCTGGGCTGCCTGGCGTTGTGTGAGGACAAGGTGCGTCTCTGGTCTCCTCTCCATCTGTTCTGTCCCCAGGGCTGTAACTGCTTGGGTTATCAG